CTTTGTTAACTGTTTATGCGTTGCTCAAATCCTTTGCCCAGTCCGTTACGAAATAAGTCTCCGTGTTGACCAAAATTGATACCTTTAAGCGAGTTCTTAGAAAGTTAGAAATTTAGCGAGGTCAATAACTCTTTTTCAGGAAGCTCTTTAAATAAAATTATTGCAAATATAATCCGTTGTCTAGGATTTAGGTAGGCTTAAAATCTCTGTCATACTTCCCTTCTAATTTCCTAAATCGCGTATTTTTGCAAACTTTTTGTTGCCAGCCTGCATCGAGGAGAAGTATAGATTTGGATTCGCCTCTCTCCTTGCTAAACTTTACCGTCGTTTACCTCAAAATTACAATTAATTTAAGCTCTAGAGTGTCTTCTTTCCACCGTTTTAGAACATCTTTCAAATTTCATCCTAAAACGTTCAAATTCAAAATTTGAAAATGAGGAAGAACGTATTTTTTTCTAGCAATTTACTGCTCTCAAAAGAACGTCCAGCAATATGTGTCTCAAAAACGCAAATACTTTTAAAGATACAAATAGGATTTTAAGGATTTTTTTTCTTAAATTGAGCGCAAGCTCAAAAATTCAAAATTTTTTGTCTCATTATAAAACTATTTGACTTTGTATGAATTCCCCTTCACTGGCTACTATGGAAGAGTAATCAGTGCTGTCAGAATTTGTTCAAAGAAGACTGTTAACACAAGGACTATAAATTTAAGGTATTTAAAAAAGCCGTCATGCAAGACCTAGTCGGCGGTCAACAATCACCTGCTAAGGCACGCTCATGACGATTTGCACGCAGCAGTTCTCCCGCCTGCAGATTTTATCTTTCCTCGTAATTCAGTTCACGTTTTCGATTTGAATAGTTATAAATTGGAAAACCTATCTCACACACCCACCATTTCTGGACAAAGACCAACTAACAAAAATTATAAAAACACTAGCTATTCTTTGCAGACTTTCGTCCGTTTCGCAAGAACGAATATTTTTTTTAAAGCTCTGTGAGGGAAAAAGAGCGGTTATCGGCAATTATGATGTGTTTCAGAATTGTTACCGGAAGCAGGGGAAACCTTACCTGTAAAGGAGAACTGCTGTTAAGCACTAGTTAGAATTGAGTCTTCAATAAATGATGTTGATCAAGAAGCTTGAAATCACCAAGTTTACTTCAACTGGCGCAAAAACACTAGCTATTCTTTGCAGACTTTCGTCCATTTCGCAAGAACGAATAAGATCGTCAAGATGCCTGCACCCATCGAGAACTGACAAACAATTTTTGTGGTCACTGTAGTATTTTTTGTTTTCTTTGAGTAAGCCACACATTCTCACAAAACTACATTTTTTCCATTCTTCCTGACAGTCTTTTCCATTACATTACACTCTTTCCCATGTAAATTTGATGTTTTTTTTAGTACTTTTAATGTCATTATTTAAATAATTTTACTGAGTGGGTTTGCTATGCAACTGACATTTTCTTCCTTTGCTAATGAATAGCATCTGTTTTTTGTTTCTTTTTTCCTCTATCAAGTTTCGGTGCTTGATAGTCTAGCTAAGTCTCTGCGTTACTTCAAACTGCGTGTGGAGTGTTTTTGCCCAAATACACACTGTCAAGTGAACCAGTCTCACTAGTGATTTACAGAAAATACGCGTGCTCACTAGTGATTTAAAAAGATATCTTCATCTCTAATGCATTTTCATTTTCATCAGACCCTCGGTTTCTCTCGAAAATTAAAAAAATATTGCGAAAGAAACGCCTTTTTAAGTTTCAAAATCATTTAGAACGGGGTATTTGGCATCCAAAAAGGAAAGCATTTGCAGTTCATCAAGTACTTGATTTTGATAGGGACGACTCACCTTATATGAAAGAAACCTTTGACAATTCATCTTTTTCACATCTTTCCTTCTTTGATCGTAATAAAGTGTGATGCATGCTGTGGACGTAAACCCGGTGAAGTGATTGGGAACCATGGTTCTACAACACAAACCATACTTAAAATTTTAAGTTTGTCTCAGTTACTAGAACTGTCTTGGACATTAACGGCGTGGTGATAAAATTTAATTTTTATTCTTATGACCTTTCACAGCGACCAGTTCGTTGTCGAATTATAGCGCAATCGGTCACGGTTACGTTTTGAAACGGCAATCTAAATGGATTCGAACCCATCTCTTGAATGAAGCGTACTTTTCACCTTTCTTGACGGTTTTCTGACGAACCCAAAAATTTCTTTTTATTTATTACAGCGTTTCAATTGCGTAAATCAGACTTAGTGGACAACTGTATGAAGTGGCGAAGAAAATTGCTAAGAAGATATTCCGAAGAATGTAGAAAAACGTGCGAAGAAGCCTTACAAATACAGACTTGGCTTTTTAAAATCTTGTGTTTCCTAAAGTATTCCATTTGAAGCTTATTGTTTAGATTTTAAGGGAGTTTAAAGTTGTTAGAGTTTTGTTTTAACTCGCCGCGTAGAAAGACCGCAATAAGGGACTCAAAGTTGATATAAGAGATCTTAATTCAAGTAAATTCCCTGCAGAAATTTAAGATTGCCGTCAGAAATCTTGTGATATTAATTACGAGAATAGTTTAATTCTATAACGGGGACTCATAGTCGGTATAAGATGCATTAACTCAGTTTTTTTGAAGATTGAAATTCGTAACAAGTACATTTTATACCTAGAGTATAAAGTTGTAGAAGCTTTGGGGTTTTAACTGCGGCAAGTCAGTAACAGGTGGCTTACAGTAAATAAGATGCGGAGGGTTTGATGAAGCCTATTTAAGAATTCTACTATCAAATAGAATATTGTAAAAGAAGAAAAAAGTTTCACTACAGTCAGCCCATTTTTGCTGAATTCCGTTGAAATTAAGGAAGCTACAAACATATCCTTGAAGAAATGAACGGTTATTCATCAGCTTTCTTATACTTCGTCGCAGTGGTGTTCCTTCCAGTTCCAGTTTTAATCTTTCTAATTTTCTCCTCCCTTCCATTGCTCTCGGTCTATTCACGCCTCATCATTATGCTGATTCCTTTATCTTTTACAAAGAATTTATCAAATATTGTTAGAACAGTAGTTACACTTTTGTTTAACCTATTAAGCAGAGACGTTTTTTTAAAAGTTTGTAGTTTATGTTATTTTAAGTTCTACTAAAGATTTAGAGAGATTTAAGTTGATATAAGAGATCTTGATTCAAGTAAATTTCGATGAAGATTGAAATAAACCTCCTCCTTTTTTTGATAGTAAGCATACTGAACTACAATCTAAAAAGTTTAGAACTGAAGAAAGAGGGTTTAACTTAGGAGTCTCCGTGGCACTGTGTGCCAGAAGCCTAGGATCTCTTAAACGAAGGTCTCAATCAAATGTATCTCCGGGTGGAGCTGAACATAAGCGATTTCTACTAGATGGTTAGGATTTGATTTAAACTACTGTAGATCCACGAGAAACATTTACAGTAGCTTAAAAGGTTTGGTAAATACCCAAAAAAAATTCACACAAACTAGATTACTTTTGTAAAGAAAAAGTTTTATTACGACAACAGTTGAGAAAACTACTGTAAATGCAAGTTTTGAGATCGATTTTGGGAAGGAATTTTACCTGCTGTTTGCAGATCGCGGAACTTAGTAGACATGAGCGCTTTTTCTAATGTTTACTCTCGAGCTTAGTTTGAGAATCACTTCTATTTTCCAGTTTCATTTTTAAAGCAAACTGCCGTGATAAATTTCCGTTATGTATGTTCATCATCTTTGGCTGCGGAAAAGCGGCTCGCTTTAATGTGGATATGAATTCTGATATGTTCAGTGTGTTTTGACGGCTTTAAAGAATTGAATGTGATTGGTCTTTTGTTGTCTCTGCATGAGACAAAAAAAGTAAGTTTTTGCTGAAGTTGTAGTTATCTAGTCTGACTTGGACCGGGACTACTATATCTCTTGCCCTGTGTTTAGAAACATATTTCAAAATTGTTATTTTTACGAATAAACTAGGCATACTAGGAAGACTGTTGGTTGGATTCCACACTCCTGACACCGAATTGAAAATGTGCCTTACTGGTTTTCAGTTTTTACCAAATCGGTATTCTCTTGCACAGCAATTTGAAATTCTGAAATTCACTGATGTGGCTTTTTTCTCCTGTTGTTTAAAATTAATAGTTCACTGTGTTTGCGATCTTGAGGAAGGCCGTCAGATGGAATGCTGTTGGGAAGTTCCAGCCTTGTTTCCATTCTCTCAACGCGAGTTATCCACCACTAGCCTCCACAGTTCAATATCACGTTCAGAAGTCTGACTTCGGACTTATACAGTCCTTTTTTGGCTGAGAAATTCATAATTTTGAAAAAAAATGCAGGAATGCTTAATTTCCCTGACTATCTGAAGTTATCATAAGCACTTACGTGGCTAGCCCAGCTCTGCCACCTTCTAAAGCAGTTTTAAACGTTCTTTTTACAAACTCTTTCATTGGCCGTTCCTTATTCTTGATTGTCTTTAACGTTTTGTCCACAGCTGAGAATTCTAGAAGTCTTTATATTTTTCCAGAAGTGTTACCAGCTATATTCCCCGCTGTAGTTACCTAAACTGTACATTTTTTTTATCCACTCCATTAGACTTCTGATTTAGAGGAATAACAAGTTAACTACATCGCACTACGTCTTACTCTTCAAAATCTCTTCAAATTACAGATTCATCATTCACCCAGGACAGTTTTTTTGCCAGTGCTTCTTTCCACTTCTGATCTTCAAACACTTTCCTAAGTTTAGTTTCAGTAAACCTTTAGCCCCGCGTTCCGCCTTGGACATTCTTAAATTAATTAAAGGATTGTAAACTCCTATTAAATTTGGAATATTTAGAGTTTTCTTACAGGTGGAGTCGAAGAATCTAACTAGTTTCCAATAATTGCATATTTCCTTTGTATGATTGTTTTAAAAATTTTATTACAGTTTTAATATTTTGCCACTCCTGTTCCTAAAATAAGGTCATCGACAGTCAAAGTCTTAAACTTCTAACACGCTCTAGATCCATAGTGGCTTAAACGCCATCAAGGGTAACGCATCCCACCCAGTGCAACCTCTCCGTCGCAAATAAACGACCGTTGCCAAACTCAAAGTAAACCAAACCTTTGCCACAGAGAATGGCTTTTGCAGATCCCATATAGCCGTTTCGATAGCCGTAGGTATTTCTGATTTGGCACCTTTATACCATCTATGCTGGGCATACCGTCACAAGCGCAACTCGCTTCTTCCACCTTGTCTCCGGTCAAACAGACCCAGGTCTATAGAATCTATTATGAGTAGTGCAGAGGACCTTTTCAAGTAAACATTGCTAATCTGAATTTTTGGTAGTAGACAACTAAGGCATAATTTTGACTTTGTTGTGCAGTTTAGCCAACCTAGAACCAACAGAAGATGTTTTTTTTGGCGTGGGTGCATTAGAAAGAAGCGCCATTAAAGATTATTTGTGCCATTCTCTGTCAAACGTAATAAAGGTACTGCTGAAACCTCATAGGTTTCTTGTAACTACCCCTTAATGAATAAATTCTGTTTCAGATTACTGAGCATAAATTACTTACATCACATTATTTCCGGAACAAGTGTAACTGTAACAGCTTAATATTAATCCAAAACAGTAGTCTCTTGAAGGCAGAAACGTCTAAATATCCTCGCTTGACCGTTCTTTGTGGTTCTCTAGCAAGGAAGAAGAATTAGCGAAGTCAGCTACTACAGTAAACAGCTTTAACACAATAAACAGCCCTAAGCAGTTCCAACCTTAAGAACCTGCTCCAGTCTTTACAATCAGTGTAAGAAAGAATAGATTGCAAAGAAAGAAGTTTAAAATGACAAACTTGCAAGCTTCTCCCACGCCTTCCTGTACACTACAGCAGCGGGCAGCTACAACTTCTTCTACTGCCCTCAACCGTGCTCTTTCCTCCACCAAGCAATCTTCTCCCAATTTCGCCACCGCTTTAAACTCATTTTTTTCAAACGGCGGCTCGTCACACGTTGTTTCATCTTTAAGTAAAAGTTTTTTAGACAGTTTGGTACTCCTTGTCATCTCTGTGGCTTTCATCCCACTCGCAGTACGAAAACCCATGCCCATTTACCATTAAAGGTTGTTCCTTATTAAAGTCAGCCTCCAGCAATACACTCTAGTTCCTCCGGCTCTGAAAGTAGCCTTTCGGAATGAAACGCAAAAATCCACGACACAGGAAATAAGCTACATCACTACCATGATCACCAATGTAGATTTAAACGACTAAAATCAGTCCCACAACAGTGGTAATTTGATAAAAACAAAGCCGGCCGTTCAGATCACAACTGACAGAACAAAAAAATACTTGTTTCGCCTCCTCACAAAAAACATTTCGAGTAAATTCACTCTTCATTTAAACGAAAATATAACTAAGAAAAGTCCCGTCATCTACTACCTTTTGTTTCTTCCTCAACGCTTCAGTAACGATTTCAGCACCTTAATTCTGGCAACCAATTTCTCTTTTTGATAACTCTGTTGATCTTCATCGAACAATTTACAAAAAAAAAGTTCCCTACAAAAATTTTATGAATGTACAAGCCTTAAAAAAAGCTTACTAATTGCAATAAAACAACCACGGTTTAGAGCGATTCTTAATTTAAATCCTTTCTAAACTATCGCAAATTGCAAAACCAAAAGATACACGAAAAGATTCCCAACAAACAGCAAATGAGAAAATATACTTGTAGACAATGTCAAAATATGTAAATAGCTCCACCAAAAACAGTAATTCTAAAGTTGTACACAATAAACGCGCTTCGACTTAACAATATACCACTTCCTGTTACAGCCCTAATAAATGCAAGAAAAAAAATTATCTACCACCACGCAATTAAATGGTTTATACAGGCAATTAAATTACAGAAAGCAACAGAGATCAATCAAGACCGGTATTTGAAGAGATAAATCATTTGAGCATCAAAAGGTGGGAAGATTTAAAACTAATCCTCAGTCATGACGATTTACAAAAACGGACACACAGCCATCGTCTCCGACAGCAACCAAATACCGACTGCAGGGGCTAAAAGAAAGCTGTCGTACTGCACCTTTCATACCTTTCGGCAAAAGTACAAAATCCCTGAAATATCCGGCAACAGAAGCATTTGAAAAAAGAAAAATTTTCTGAGAAACTAGGTCTCTGACAGTCCCGAATTTGAGAACCTATTTAAAATTGAAAAATGAAACAAACAGCGCCAATTTACAAAATAAAATTTACTTAGCACAGCTTTACAGAAACGATTTTTCAGAAAGAAAAAGAAGTAATGGAACCAAATAAGACGAATTTCTCTCAAATCACTAATCACTAAAAAGCCTTCATCAATAATATACCGTTTGTTAGCGGGCATTCCATTCGAGAGATCCCATACATGAATAGCGGCAGCTTTGTTCCCACAAGCAAGGTACTAAAACATGGTACAGCTATTTATAATCATGAATCAAGCTTACATTTACCTGTGTCTAATGATTAAACAGAAATAAAACAAGACAGACACTTCACCTTTCCACTGGGGTCGATTGTACAGCGAACAAACCAAAGATCGCCATCCGGCAAAAAAAGCTGTCGAAAATGTAAAACACTGCTTTCAGTTTTAACTGCAGTTCCTCCCCCCGCCACACCACTTTCCAAATCACCAAATTTCCAAAGAACAATTTTATTCTCAACCGACTGAAAAATCTTAGGTAATTTAAATGTAGAGAAAATAAACCTCTCCTCAATAAATTTTACAAAAGTTGTTTCTACTTACTAGTGAGAATATGCTACACAGGTTCAGTTTATAAAAAACATAAATCTTTTTTGGATTTGAAAACTTCAACTAAATTTAATGACTGAAACGATGACAAATTACCAAAATTTACCTTAGAAAAAATCATTTTGTGATAGATACAAACACAGTCAGCGTAGTCAGCATGAATATCACGGGTACTACAGTACGGATAATGTATCTCCAGCGGCATGTCAATTAACTGCAAAGACCGTTTAATAGTTAAAATCTAAAAGTAGGATGGGAGTAAAGTGCACCCAAACCTTAAGACTACTTTTAGCTTGAGCAATCATGCGGTCTACACCACTTCCTTCACCAATATACCACATCTTTACGGTATGATCCATACTTGCTGTGGCAAGGTAATCGCATGACGCATCAAAATCCTGAAACAAAATACTCTTTCACCCACTAGTTTGACAAAAATGTAATAAAACAGATGTTCAAAACAAAGCAGTATAAACTTAACCTTTAAAGCCTCGAACAAAAAAAAAAA